GAGAGGGAGAGGGAGAGGGAGAGGGAGAGAGGGAGGGAGGGAGGGAGGGAGAGAGAACAATAACTCAAAGCCCACTACAAGCATTTAAAAAAGAAAAACATTGTTTTCCCCTCTTCTTAAAAGAATATGAGTTTCTACTGTTTCCCCTCTTCTTAAAAGAATATGAGTTTCTACTGTTCCTATGTATGTATAAAAAGATTAGGCAGATAAAATTTTAGATTATTTAAGACTGTTAATTCTGTATATAGGAATAAAACTGTCATGCATAAGGTCCTCCTTTTTTAGTATTTTTTAATAATACTGGCTTTGGGGTATAGAACCAATGTCTGCCTTAAAAGTCAACTCTATATAGGAGAGGATGGGTAAAAAAAATTCAATAACACTTTATATTAAGTGTAATGTATAATGAATCTATAAAGAATATACTGTATAATGAGATATATTATACATACTATATATATACATATATATACATATATTCCTATATAAATAGTATTGCTGCATCTACTTTTCAACTATTTAGCTTTTCCAATTCCAATCTCCTTTAAAGACTATGCTATGACTATAAAAACTACTTATGGAAGAAAAATACTGTTTAGTGTACTTGTGAATTTTTATTTCAATGGCAAGTTTCACAAAACTGCTTAAATAATTTTCACAAATTTTATTTCCTTTATAAGTGGTATAATTTAATACATTTAGAGAGTCATTTGAAAGAAATTGGCTAAATGAAGCCTTTTAAAATAAAGTAAATCAAAATAAAGTAAATTTCTAAATGAGAATATCCAAATATCACTGATTTTTATAAAATGAGACAATAGATATAAAAGTAATTAAAAATAAAACTTTTGTAACATATAAGATAGTATGTAGATAAATAGGGTACTTTTTACTTGATGACAATATTATATTAAAATATTTTAAGAATATAAGACTTCATTTGGATTTCCCTTACAAACTTAAATTTCTAGTTTCTGAACTAATTAGAATTGACTTATTATGGATCAGGTACCTTATCAGGTGAAGAACAAAATTACCATGGACAGTCAATGGGTTAAGAGGTCAATATAGAATAAGAAAATCAATTTGCATTGATTAAACAAAAGATCCATTTTACAGAGCCCAAAGGATTAGCTTTTAAGCAGAAATCTTTGAACTATAAGGCTTTTTCAACTGAGAGATATGTACAGAGAAGGGCATTATAAAACACCTAGGAATTTTTACAAAAAAAATGCATTTTACAAAAAAAATGCTATAGTTGAGGTGGCCAATATTTATTGACATTATAAACATGCACAGAATTACTATATAATTAGTTAAAAACTTTCTGAAAAGTGTGAAAGTGTGTAATTTTTTTCTTATGCCAATCTTTGCCTGACTATTTACTTAATAGGAGCTAGACTCTTAAGATCTATAGTAGACTGCACAGTGACATATTTTAATGTTGACATCAGTTAAATATTATGGTAAAATTTAGAGTCTAAGGTTAAAAATCAAAATGATAAATCTTTTCTGAACCTCTTCAGTGGAAATAACTTTAAATGGCATATAAGTAAAATGTAATTAAATCAACCCTCCTTACATTTTTCACTTAATGGAAATTTAAGCTACCTGAATCAAAAGTTAAGACAATTTTGTACTTAATAGCAAACATAATGATTATCTATCTGATTAGAGTCCTTAGATTCATATGTATACTACTTTCTACCAACAAGGCATTTATTTACATGATTCCTGTAGACCTTAGTAGAGAAGATATAGTAAAACCAGACATTTAAAATCTCTTTGACAATTGACACCTCATCCACCTCACCCACCACTGCATTTCTTACCTTCAATAGCTAGCATTGCCCGCAATTCCCGGTTCAGCAGTTCATACCGCCGTTCCAAATCATGTTCTTTTTCCCTAGGCAAGTTGCAAAAGTTCATCAATATGCTAATTACTAAATCATTAAACACTTAAAAGAACCTTTAGGTTACATTGATTTTAGGACTCATAACTGACTTTTCTCTTTAACTTTAAGCCACTCCAAACAAATGATATACAAAAACCTAAAATCTTTCTCAGCTGAATATTTACTAATGCTATTATTTTCTTCTTTGAATTCTTGAATGGCACAGAGGTATATTTTAATCTGAGGATAAGTAGTCCCATTCTTCAAAGCTTCTTGTATTAGGTGCCAGATATAAGACTACTTTCAAAAATGTTTTTTATAGTTCATAATCAACACTCTTTTATTCAAAACTCTATGTGAAAAGATTATATAAGAAACATGAAAATATTACCAGCACAAATTTAAAAATGGAGACAAAGATTCTGGATTAGTTAAGTTTTGTGCTTCATCATAATTCTTTTATCAAGTTTAGAAATGATAGGAATTATAAAAGTAGATTTTTCGAACAAAATAAAAGATAAACCTGGTCATTCCCACACTAGGTGGCATACCATAAGAACTTTGCTAGTGAGCAGAAAGGAACAAGCGTTAGTGAACTAACACCAAAGACTAGAATGTTTACATTTGATCTATTCTCCATTTAACTTTAAATCCTACAGTCATAAAAAGGTCACTTCTATTTAAGTAATTAAGCTCTTATCCCAAAGTTTAGATTAACATTATCTGTAAACAACAAATGTATTTTTGTTCTTATAAAGTGTTATTTTATTTTTAACTTAGAATTTGTTCAATAAACTTCAATTTTATTTTTCTAAAGGGTTTTCCTCTAACCATTAATATAAACCCAAACTCCTTTTTCTGCACAAGTGATTTATTTCCAAAACATAAGAACTGTTTATATACCTTGACTTTTTGTAAAACAAACACTTTTTCAGTGTTTAATCGCTCCATTTACAAATTTTTACTGTTTGGATGGAAACAGTGAAAAAAATGTATGTATATATGTATATTTACTTTTTAATATAAAACATACTGTAATAGAGTATAAAATATACTGTAATTTCTAAGGAAAGAAAAAAATTGAGCTCAATAAATAGGAAACTTTAAAGAAGGCAATAACAGAAAGCCTAATGCCATAGGAAAAACAAGCTCAGTCATGAGTACTTACAGTAGAGAAAGCTGGTTCATTCTTCTTATTAAGGCATTTTTCTTATTAACTAACATAAACCATTCTTGCATCATAGCTTCTTCTTCTTCTGTGTTCTTTGCTGTGTATAAAGAGTTACTTCTTATTTATATGACATTTTATAAGCCAAATGATAGTTTAGCACAAGTTTTTTAACATTACAAAAAATATTTTAAATATTCCAATACTATATATAAAACTGCTTATAATAATATAAGATTAAAGTCCAGGACCTGAAAAAATAAATTAAGCCAAACTTCTAAAGCTGACATTTTTCAGCATGTATATTTCAGTCCCCCTGGACATACCTATAGATCATATTAACACTAAGTACTGTAAACAAAATGTTCCTCCTTTTAAATCCTCCCTAGAGGCTGACTGGCTATTATGTTTCAGTGAAGAACTGATGGTGATGACAGACATATGGTCATGATTAAAAAAAAATTGAAAAATCATTATGAGGATCATAAGACTAGCAGAAAGATCAGAAAAATCCAAAGATTGTGTGAAAGCTTCTACTTGTATCAATTTAGTTTTTCTTTTATTTCCTCCCTCAAAGTAAACTAAAGATTATATATATGTGTATGTATGTGTGTGTGTGTGTGTGTGTGTGTGTGTATAAATATAAGTTAAATATATATAGATAGATAGATAGAGAGAGAGAGAGAGAGAGAGAGAGAGAGAGAGAGAGAGAGAGAGAGAGAGAGAGTATTACAAAAAGACACCAACGGTCTCTGTGGAAAAAAAACACATTACAGTGAAAATAATGTTTAGAAAACATTTGATTAGAGAAACAATCTAAAGTTTGTAGAGTTACTGATTTCATAAGTTATCCTTCATACCCATTCCATCATCCGTATCACTCTACTTCTCCCCACAACACGCCAACAAAAGCTAGTATTAAGGATTATAATACAGTACACCATGTACTCAGTATTGTTCAGGCAGAAGTAGCCCCTAATTATACTCAAGAAAAATACCGATTTTTCTCACATTTTTCCTTCCTCTGCCTTCAAATTTTACCTCGTCAAATTTATAATTCTTAGCCTTTTCTCCCTGAATTCCATCTATGCTTGGTTTATTGCTTTACTAAGCCATTATTTAATATTACCAGTCCAACATCTGTATAGAATTCATGGGATTAAGTTAAATAGCTAACAAAACATTAAATATCCCAATTACGACTATTATCCCTGAAGTTTTATTGTCTCTTTAAGTGAGATGGTTTCTTTTACATTTCAAATATTATGAGTCCATTTTAAAAATTCAAAAAATACAGGGCTGGGGATGTGGCTCAAGTGGTAGCGCGCTCGCCTGGCATGCGTGCGGCCCGGGTTCGATCCTCAGCACCACATACAGACAAAGATGCTGTGTCCGCCAAATACTGAAAAATAAATATTAAAAAAAAAATACAGAGGTATATGATTGAATAAATGTCAAATCCTCTTTCACTGACCCCACCCTTCCTCACCTCCTCACTTCATTTTCTTTCTCCAGAAGTGGTATATTTCCTCCCAAATCAGACAGCTCAGCTGTCTATCAAACACATGTTTATACTTTATCTATAAACACATCTAGATTTCTCTCACAGATATGAGTTCATATTATATTGTGTCCTATGATTTATTATATCATGTGTCCAAATATCTTCTTCATATTGATGCATAAGTTACGGGCATTCCATAATTAATTTAACTATTTCACATTAATAAAAATTTAAAGATATTTAAAAATAAAATAGAATATAAAAAAACTGATCTGTGTACAAAAGATTAAACATGTATTTCAAAGTATCCCTATAAAACAGATATGTGTTATTCATCTTTGGGGAGAAGAGTGGGGATATGTGCCTTCATTAAATGCTGTTAAAACTGAATGGTATGAAGCCGACTTAGGATAGATTCTTTTAGAGTCTGAACAAAAGTCTTTATTGTTTTACAGTATTTTTAATCTCTCCTTTAGGGTAGCTGGTTTTGTATTCACTTTGGACCATGTGATGTCTTGACACTGGTCATGTGATACAGGCTGCGATAGGCACAAATCCCTGGGTAGCAACAAAAGAAGAAAGAGTAAAAAGAAAAAGCTGAGAAAAAGCTTGCAATTTGGAAAAAGGCCAATTGTACCCTGGTGAAAGCTTTTTTGATCAGTGAAATGACACATGTGTGCAATATTAATAGGTGTAGATTTTATGATATTTTATTTTCTGATTAAAGACCTAATTCTTGTGTTTATAAACTAAGTAGCTTCTAAAAATATAGACATATTAAAACTTTGTTTTGAGATTAACTTAACCTTTAATTGAGGCTTTCAGGCAATACTAGAAGCAACCAGCCTACTCTTAAATTAGCATCATTTTCTTCAATGGAACACCGCTTCCTTGAGTATAACAATATTGATGTGGAACTGTATTATTTTCAGTTTAACTTATGCCTATGATTTCTAGGTAAGAATCCAAGATCCCCTGCCCCTAATTGTTAGGAAATCTCTAATAATAAAAGAGTCTCATGTTACAAAAGGAAATAAGCCTAATGATAAATATTTAAAGACACATTATACATTTTTACATAGATTATTTAAATTAATTGAAAAACATCTGTATCACTAAATCCTTATCTGAAATTGTATATGATGGAAATCTATTGTAGTAATAAAAATTAAAGTTTCTTCTAATCCATCACTATACTATTGTTTTTAGGGGTTTTAATTTTTTTTAAATTTAAAAAGCTCTTAAAAGCCAGTAAGTTGAACCATTACAAATTAATCCTGACTTTAATAACTGGTTAAAGACCCCTTTAGCTTTATAAGTAACAAAAAATATTAAAGCCTGTGATCACAGTGAGCTTTTCTCATTTCTCCTCTAACCATTTGTTATTTAATCCAATACTAGTAATCCAATTTGTCCATCAGACTTTTAAAGGGCAGAATGCAACTTCCTCAGCTTAGACACTTTTCAAAGTACAATATATTTTTCAAATGAATGCTGGATGTTTCATTTTTCCCAACTGTTCCTAGCTCTAATGCACGAGGAAAAAAAGAACAAGATGAACATTGTTCATACTGATTAAGTAAGAGCTCATTAAAGAGCTGTCAGTGCGGTACTTTGAATATGCATGAAGCATATAATCAGATCTAGTACCGTCACTAGAGGAGAATACGGTAAGTACAAAGGATTGATTTAATTACTTAGAGTGGGCTGTGGTGGTAAAGCAGTCTTGTTAGCGCAAAAAGAAAAAGAGGTTGTATTCTGGCACTGTTATAAAAAAGGCAGTTTTAGCTTCTGCCACAATACCTAATCTCAGAATAAAGCACTTTACATTGTAGCTTAAAATGAAGACTGTCATTATATTATAAAATGGCCATAAATCATTTAATCTTGTTTAACCTCACCTAGCTAACTACCTCTCTTTCAAAATTATCTTTAATTTGTAATACAACCACATTTTTGTCACCTCAGAACTAGTACTGGTACTTTTTATAAATCTTAAAATTTTTTCAATTTCATGATCTGAAAAATTCAAGACATACTATTGAAGGCCATTTTGAAATAAGAAGTGACTTCTACAGTTCAGTATACATTTACTAAAATTTAAAATAATGCCTGGGATGTTGCATTATATTTTAAAATATGGTACACCTCCTGTTTATTTTATTACCAATAAAGCATCATAAAAGCTACCCATTTTCACCTTAATATTAATATAGTCTCTAGTAATATATTTTGTATTTTGTTTCCTTTAAAGACTTCTGTTTTTTATTTTGCCTCCAGATATATAATGTTCTTTCTTGTATCACACACTCTCTTAATGTCAGTTTTTTTTCTCTTAATCAATTGTAATTGAAGTAAGAATTCTGAAAATTATTAAGAAATCAAAACAACGATAATGGCAGGAAAATAGCTTAAAAATGACTTAAAATTATTCTTCCTCTCTCACAGTTAATAAAAAGAACTTCATAGACAGCAGCACATTTCACACAGTACTACATGTAATATACTTAATAAATATTAGTTGACTACAGTAACTACCTTTATATTCCATTTCCTCAAACAAACAAGATTTAAAGTTATGTAATTTCATTTAGGAATTCATTTACTAATCCAAGAATTTGTATGTAGTTTTCATTTATTTTTTTCAGAAGTAGTGTTTTTTCAGTATGTTTCAAATGAATAAAAAAATGATGTCAGAATCTTGGAATTATTAATCATATTTTATTTTATTTTTGCAGTGCTAGGGATTAAACTAAGGACCTTATGTATGCTAGGCATCTACCACTGGGCTACAGTGCCAGCTCTGAATCTTATTTTAAAAACTGGCTTCTAAATAAACTTTTCCTAATATTCTTTTCAGTATAATATCATCTATTTACAAAATTATATTTTAGACAGTGAATTCTTATATAAATGCAAAATAAGGAATGATAAATACAATTGTAGCTGAATATAGGATGGATTCAGTGGGAAAAGGTAAAACCACATAGTTGTAATAGTGTTGTTATACATGTAAACAAAGCCAAGGTTTTCAACCATGAAAACATTAAAGAATGCTGAAATCTTACCACAATTCCATAGTGGGGAATGGCTAACTAGTATCAAATACAGCTCTCTTAGTACATCACATCAAAGTTAAACCAAATATAAAACCAAAAATGCTGACATTAAAAATTGTCCTGATGGGGATTACAGAATGATATTTAAAATACTTTATTACAATGGAGAGACACTTGAAGTATCCAACCAGCTGTTATCAGAGAAGATTTTACTTAATGGAGGGGTCAGAGGCATCAACTCCAAAGCCAATAAACACCATTATCAAACTATAGTTTCCCAGTTTTAGAAAATATTTAAACTTAGGAAAGAATTAAAGCTATATTAAGAAAATAAATTTTACTATATAAACAAGTGTTTCTGCTCCAAGAATATTCCTAATCAACATTAAAGAAGAATATTTTATAATTCTTATTGACATTTTAGCATCAATTATCTTATTTGTTTAACATGATATATTTACTATAGTATTAGGAATATAAACTTTAGGGCTGGGGATGTGGCTCAAGTGGTAGCGCGATCGCCTGGCATTCGTGCGG